TAAATAGAAAGCTCTTCCCAGCCAGTCTTGGAGTGTGTGGAGTCCGTTTCTGGTTCTGGTTGTGTGATTCCAGAATAGGAACCTTAAAGGTAAGAGAAATGTATCTAAATATCCAATATCAATATTTGTGTTTCTTGTGTTTTGAATGGTTTAAATCTCAAAATTTATGTTTAGCTTTCTTTAATCTCTGCTTGGTTGCCAGTTCCTTACCCAACCTTTCTGTATTGACAAAACCAGTGCTGACAACTTTGCCTTAGTCCTAATTTCACTGGAAATCCCAGTAGTACAGGTGTGAGTCTTGCTGTTGCAGACTCATCCAGTCAACCAGTCTTACTGAACTGCATCCCTTTTCTGCTTTGAATGCCTCCATCCTCAGCATAATTGCTATTTCCAGTTCATATAACACAATAATCTTGCAACATACTATATACAGTTAAAAGAACTGTTTTAAAATATGGATTGTAAATCTCTGAACATAAACTATTTACTCATCAAAGAAATACAAAGTGGAGAGTAATAGTGCAAGCTCTCATGAAAATGCTTGACAGTGTTTTTTAAGCCTATCTAATGTTCCTGTCTCTAAGGGTAATGGGATGGTACTTTTTGCCTTTTCTCTAGAACCTGCTGATAAAAATGTTTACTGTGATGTGTCTATAAACTCGATTGTGGTCATCAATTTATTTCATACAACTCACTGAACAAATACAATATATAGTAATGCTTTAACTGACCCACGACAGATTTGGGGTGGGGGTAGCCCATCTCTGTGTCAGTTTGGAAATGTGAAAATAGGGATTATGTCAATCATGCTACAGGTGACTCAAACAAAAATCAGTGCAGATTAATTTAGATTTCTAAAAGCAAGGGTTAGAAAGCAGGAAAGATGGTCATGTTGACTTGGAATCTGGAGGCAGCAAGCCTCTGTTCTAATACTGATTTATTCTTGCATCACTTTGCTGTTTAACAAGTCACCGAGGCCTAAAGGTATTAGCATTCCTGATTTCCTTTGAAATCAATGTATCTTTGAGGATCTGGGCCTTAATATCTCTGTGTCTTGATTCCAGCTCTGTTGAATAGGCATTATACTACAGGTTGAACCTTTCTAATCCAGCACTCTCTGGTCTAGCAATATCTGGGGTCCAGCATGATTTTTCTTACACAAATGTCCACTTGTTGTGGGTATGGCCAACTTTCCTGCTGTCTCGTAAAGTTTGCTCATAGCTGTCAGGCCTGGCTCTCAATGATGAGTGCTGTTTTTTAGCTCTAATTTACCCCTACATTTTTTCTCAGAGGCCAGCAAGCAGTGGAAACATTGGTAATGCTGCTAACTGTAAGCATGTTTTTTGCTTTATCTACTTATTTCCTTGTGACAATACAGTAACATTGGGTAACAACGCTAAGACTTCGTTATTACGAGAGCTGATAAGCCTTGACTAGGCATAGACTTACGCATCAGTGCATCAGTACAGTCATATTATTAAGTAGCACTGCAAGCATTGTTCTGTTTCTTTGCCTTGTCATCAAAATAATAATAGAGACCCACTCACTACAATACTGACCTCCTGTGGTTTGGCAAATTCTCTGATTTGGCATCCTTAGGTCCCGGGGGTGCTAGAATGAAAGGTTTAACCAATACTTCCTTTTCCCATCTTTTGTCTGTCTTATTTAGATTGTTAGCTCTTCAGGGCAGGATACTATCCCTCACTATGTTTATTTACAATGTATAGGCATTGGGGCTCTGATTTCAATTGGGTTTTCTAGGCACTACCAAAAAGTAAATATTAAGCCCCCAGTATACTATGTAATATCCAATTAATAGAAGCAGAAATTAAAAATCAGTGCATTAAACTGACCATTTATAGAAAGTGTCAAACAAGAACATTTCTCAAAGCTATACAGTCTTCATGGGTACTAGTTTCAGATATTCAGCTTGAACTTCTAAGAAATTCTTACACAAAAATGTTACAGTTCTGTAATTTTGAATACAACTTTTTAAACTTCTGCTTTCCATCATCAAATGCCTCATTCTTGCTTTACCACATACACACACTCCTTTATGCTTTGCTTGGTAAAGTTAATTTAGAAAATAGTTGTAGGTATTCTAATTACATTCAAGTAGAAGGCAAATAATTTTTACTTCTGAATCTTTATTGAAGTATTTTGATTTTACATTTTTAGGTTGGGGTTGGTTTAATTACTTGTCTCCTCTCAGCAGGCCCCAGACTTTACTTTTACTTCCATAGAGAATGTCTGTAATGTCACAAAAGCATTACTGACTATTTAGAAGTAATCTCTATTTCTAAATGTATGACCTATGAGTCAGGTAGCAGTTGGCCACATAAAACCTGCATTTCTCTGATTATTTATTAGAATACATTAATTAAACTTTTAAGCCACCATAAACATGAACTCTTACTCCTGTAGAGGGGTAAGTTTCTATGCTTTATCTCCTTTTCATATGGGTGCATGTAACAGTAAAATTCATAAAAGACCTATGAAATTACACATACATTTTCTTTCTCTGGAAAAAGTTGCAAACTGAAAACAGTATATCCTTGAATGTGTCCTTCCTTTGTGCCATCCAATAGATGATCTGTTTCAGCAGCAAGCAATTTTTTTAAGAGGCAAAGGATATTAACTCTAATCACTTTGGGAAAAAATCAGACAATTACTGTGAACAGCTCAGTGAAACCTTTGTTCAGTTTGTAGTGGAGTTAAAAAAAAGAAGAAGAAGAAGAAGCACACCATGTTAGGATATCTGCAAAATGAGATAGAATATAATGCCATTATGAGAGTCAATGGTATTAATCCCCCACCTGAGATGTTCTGTTCTGATCAGACTGTCTTAGATAGGATATAGGCCAGAGATGGGAGCTCAAAGTGACTCAAGGCATGGGGATACTCCAGAAAGACAAATTTAAAAGACAGGTACTGTAGTTCAGAGAGGCAATATGTTGGACACATAGGATATGGCTACAGTGTGTTTGGGGGGAGGGGGTTGAAGAAGGTATGCAAATTGGGCTTGCATTTGCATATCTTCTTCCGTTTTTTTTTCCGGAAGAGGATTTTCTGATATTTGGCCCGTCTACATGGGGCCAAATGTCAGAAATGCCCCCCTTTTCAGAAGCCCTCTTATTCCTTGTAAAATGAGGTGTACAGGGGGCTTCCAAAAGACAGAATGCATTTCTTTGCAGATTTGGATCACTATTTACCCATGTTTTATGCATAGCAGGAGAGAGCTTTGAAGGAACCAAAATATTAAGCACAATATTTCATAAAGTAACTAGCTTCTCTTTAAAGAGTTTTTCTTCAATCCTTTGTGCCTCATATGAGTCTACTTGCATGGAAAGGAGTTCAGATTGCTACTACAGCTTCACCATTCTGCATTCTTCCTCTGCAGCTTTTCTTCCACACATTGTCATACCAGGGAAAGCTAAAACTAAATTAATTTTTTGTCTGACAATATAGTTCCAATATTTCAACTTTTTGGCTTGTTCAGGCAGTTAATATTTACAGAGGTTGCTATGAACTAGAATGCAGTAAATTCTTGTACTGGACAGGTCAATTTCACTAAAAAATGACTAATGGGTTTTGCATTACTATTATTATTAAAAAATAAAAAGAGGCATTGGATAACAATTTTTTACAATTCATTTTCAGTGTTGTAGTGTATGGTGGTACAAAGTAAAAAGTGAAATTTTGTTTAACTAGTTAATCTGCTTACATTAGCTAATCAGGTGTTCTGTTTATATTCAGAGAAATAAGGAAGAACCTGAAACTGATTTCTACTGTGAACCCCAAATATAATAATATACCAATTTCTGCAGTTCTTGATCCTTTGTATATAGGGGTGTGAGTGGTCCCACCTCTCAAAGCCTGTGTCTAGACTACACTTCTCTGTTGCCAGAGAGATGTAGATTAGGCAAGTCGAAATTGCTAATGAAGCAGGGATTTAAATATCCCATGCTTCAGTAGCATAAACATGGCTGCTGCTTTTTTTCGAAATAGAGTTTTTTGAAAAAAAAAGTCAGTCTAGATGCAGATTTGTCAAAAAAATAAACCCTTTTTCGAAAGATTCTGTAAACCTGAGGTGTGTGTCCCCCCTCCCCAAAACTGACAGTCAGTGAATAAAGAATTAGTAAACTACTACCGGGCAGTGAATGCATCAGAGGTTTACAGGATCTTTTGAAAAAGCGTTTATTTTTCGACAGATCCACGTCTAGATTGCCATTTGTCCTCCCATGGATCAGCAAATTCTCTGATTCAGAACCAATTGGATCCCGAGGGTGCAGGACTAGAGAGGTTCAACCTGTAGAACAAAAGACATTGGTAGTCTGAAGATATGAACTTGCAAGAGTGTGGTACAAAAATGACATGTCATCATTCTCTATCAAAGTCAACAGGTGTCTTCCCTATAGCACATACAGTGGGAATAATGGGAGATTATAAAATGAGTTCATAGATATTTGAGAGCACACTTCTTGCTACAGCTCAGCCAGGCTCTCAGATATATAAAAAGTCACATTTTTAGCCTTCCAGTTGGAATACAGGAGTGTTTTCCTTCCATCATGACCACTCTTAATCAAGTAGATCAATGAAGTACGATAATTTCTTATGTTTTAAAAAATTAAAAGCCAGCAAGAAGGCTTGGAAGAGCCTTGTGTACTGCAACAACTGTTCACTAAAGAAAGAATAGCCATTTTCATTCCCTTGACTTTCAAAAGTATGTGCCCCCTCCCCAAAATTGACAGTTGTTAAAAAAAAGAATTAGCAAACTACTACCGGGCTGTGACTGCATCAGAGAATTAGAACTGAATCAAAATTGTAAAACAAAGAAATGGGACTTACTGAAGAATCCAGTTCCTCCACAAGAATGAATATGAAATAGGTGCAAATGCACCTTGCAAAAGAACTAAAAATCACAAATCAGAGCCTCACAGACACATTCTCCTCGCAGATCTACATATGATAGACTCTTTAAAAAACACTATGGAGAACTTCAGTTTCAAACTCTTCATAAGTAACATTTTGCAATAAAAGCAACACGAACTTGACTTCTCTCACTTCATAGAATCATAGAATACTAGGA